AACGGGCGCGTTTTCATGCACCAGACACCGGTATGTCTACAGCCATTGTCGTCAGGTATTTCCGTTTAAGTGCCGGTTGTTCTTTGATCTATCATGTCGGTTTTTTGCTATTTATGGTGACCATATGGTTTCCTTGGGAATGGTTTCGTAATTTATCTTTAATGTTACTAATTTTGCCAATTTTCCTCACGTAGCAATGCTGCCTTCCCACTTTTTCTCCCAACAGGAGTGGTACGTGCATCAAATGCAAGGGTGAGAAAGGTCCTGCCGTAGTAAAAGTTCGAAAGGATGACCCACCTCTTTGCAGGTTAGCTCTGATGTTTCATCTGTTTGATTCTGCGTAAGACAGGTCATGTTTCCTTACTGGATGTGTCCACAAATTTCGGTCCGCTTTTGGGAAAAACAATGCAGTTCGCAGTGGAGAACCTGTCGTGTTGGCCTTCTCGGGGGGCATTCCTTCCTCTGTTCTTCTCGAACTCACTAAATTGGTTTGAACTTTTACTTTGGGTGATTGTCTACCGCCTTTAGTGCCTTGCCAATGCTGAGCGACGTAAATTACGATTTAAGCCTACCGTAGTGTGTATATACGGTATGAAATGAATTTGCTACCTTGTCTATCGTCATATTCTTTTGTGTAGATTACAACAAACCGTTTCCCTACAGGCAAGAAGAATTGCTCAAAGAATCAGGATTCTCATATAAGATTTACCGTTCCGATGAGGTTTGTTCAAACTTACTGCAGTTATGTATTATGTTTATTAAATGTGACGAGTGAACTAAGATGAAGGACCCCGAAGAGGATGGTTGTGCCTGCCAACCTTCCTGCTTCACAGAAATGTCTCCATCCATGGTGCCACTTTAAAATTCAGAATACTGTCAGCACCGGCCATGGTCGTTTTACGCCTCTAAATGTTCGCCTGATGACTGGACATCATTGGTTGCTTCGTACTTATTTCATGCTTCTGATTATGCCGGATGGGACCGGACAATTTGCTGCCTGTACTACCTGTCATGCTGCTTGGCTATAGGTTGTAGTATAACTGAGAAGAGGTTAATTATCACAAAGCCAGTGTCTTCGTGTAGTTGGAACCTTATGCTTATCACGCTGAGCGTGTCATCTTGTCATGCTCACCTTGCCACTAGACATGCACAAAACGCATTGGCCATCACAGAGAGACAAGTGCATCTGTGCCTGGAGCAACAACACACCCATCGCATCCACGGTCCACAATATCCTGGCTCATTCAGTCACCACACAGGCCTATTCGGCCACATACGCATTCATGAAAAGTTGCGGAAAATACCATCGGTAAAACCCTATCACACAAACACCAAACTTGAGCCCGTTCCTCATAATCCACCGCGATTACGGAATAGGCACTTCTCACGCAAGCAGGAGTCATGCTCTTCGGCTCCTCCCTATAGTCTCCATAACACTCTTTGGTATATAAACTCCAAGCAGCTCATAGCCGCGGTGGGAAATCCTGGTGTTTTCTCTGGGGAACCAGACCGTCTGAGACGGACTGTTTAAATCTGTCAGCTACTGCGCCCCATTTTGCCGTTCGTTTGTTGATAGGCCTGGGCAGCCTTTTGGTGCATGAGAGCGGTACGGGAGAGTGAGGCCGACGCCCCCTGGCGCATATTGCTCACTAACTAATCTGACACACTTGAAGAAATCATACTGCGCTAAACTTTCAACTGACGATTCACTTCAAACCTCCCACTCAGTCCAGTGCGTTTGTTTAGAACTGCCGAGTAGTAGACTACGATTCCGGCTGCAATCGCTCTCTACGTTGGCCTCTATGGCACTCTAGTGCATATGAGATCCGATCCGCTCCTCCCCGCTCATGGGACATTCTGTTCTTTTTTTGGGAACCGGGTCGTCTGTGTGGCGGGCGGGCGGAGAC